ATTTTACTTGTTTCTTTTTCTTTTTTTTTTCCGTAAGAGATTCTATGCTCACTCACAGATCATATGAAATATTTTCAAACAGGTTGCAAAAGTATTTATTTCATGTTCAAAATGACCTCAGCAAAGTGAATAGTGCGGACAGTCTATAATTACAACACCTCAAGAAGTAAACCACCCCACCTGTCAAGTAAATAATAGAAGAAAAATGGCCCTTCAAACCACCGTTTTCCATTGTAAGGGGGGAGGAATTATCTCTTACCGTTTGGCAAGGGGTTTTAGAAAAGGCAAGCGGCTATTTCAGGAACCGCAGTTTCTAGATATTGCAACCATTTGGAAGAGGTCAAAATTAAAATATCAAAACCGTCAGTGGGTTAAACCAAAGATGATATTGTTTGTAAGCATGCTCTTGTATAGTAATTAAAATTATATAGCTTACATTTTCATTTACATAAACTGTGTTAATAGTTCTAAATTATCAAGTGGTATTTAAGTTACTTAGTTGTACTGCTCATGATATGGCATAGTAGATATTAGAATCAGCCATTTTTCATTTTAAATTAGTTATAAAATTTTGACCCACTAGTGTTTAAATGGTTTCTATTTATTATTTCTAGCCTATAATATTGTTTCCTTATATTATTTGTCTTTAAAAGAAAATTTGCTATATTCAATGATAAATGTATTTTAATAAAATTCCTTCTATAAAAATTTAGAATGTTATTTTTGCAGGCTTAGACTTCATTAAAGAAACACAAAATGAAGCTGGTGATTTGTACAATTGTTTTCTTTGTGGAGCATGCACATCTTCTTATGATATTATTGAACATCTTATTCAACCAAAGCATAAAGTTAAATACTTGGTTAGTTTTCTGATTTTTCTCACTGATTGTTTGTTAAACAATTTTTCAAGTATAAAATCCATGAAGAAATAATTAGTTAAAAGGTTCTATCTAATTTATTTTCATATTGATATTATGTACTACACACCTCATTTTGTTCAAACACCTTTTTTTTTTTAAAGTTTAGAATGTTATGGTTCTAACAAATGGCTCTATAACCCCTATAAAGTTATGATTAGAAAACAAATGTATGATATAGAGATCAGGTGTTTTAATTCATATCTTTAGTTCAATTTTGTTTTTGCTAAATTTTAATCACTTTACTAATTTAGCCAAATCTCTTTTTTTCACTCGGAAATATTTAAAAAAACCAAAGTCTGGTAATTAATTTCTTTATAAGGCTAAGTGAAGTGTAATATGCTTGGTTTACCCAATTTTTTTAAAAAAAATATTTAAATAGTCTGCTTATCAAAATATTTATCCCTTCACTTGGCAATATACAGTAGGACCTCAACATTCAAAAGTACTTGGGACAGTACCTACTTCGGATAAACAAAATATTTCAATCATAGAGGTAAATTTTTTATAATTTATTTTAATCAATAAATTCTCAAAATGAAGTGTTTTTTTAAACATGGTATATGCTACTAAATTGTAATTTGATAATGTAAAAAGTCTCATTTTTAATAGGAATATTTTATTTTAAAATTTGCTTTCACTTTTGCAATGAAGAGTGGTATTAACCGGTTTATATTTGCTAGGTTTCCCCTGATTCCATTTGCACTTTAAAATATTTTTCTTCCACAGATAACGTTACAAGCATCCTTTCATTAGAAATGGAAGCAATGTTGGTCAAACTACACTGTTTATAGCAGGGTGCGTAGCATTTTTAAAAAGCCCTTAAAGGTGCTTTTTTTTTATTCGGGGTTTGTAAAAAGTGCTTAATTTTCTATATTTTAAAAGAGATATTTTCTTTGCTGGGTCATTCTAAATTACAAAAAATGCATGATTTTCACAATGTTCTCCACAATATTTATCAGAAACTAGTTATTTTATCACGATTGTGTAAAGATATTGTAAATGTGTTTGAATTTTATTGATTTTATGTTTATAAATTAAGAACTTCAAACGAAAGAAAAAAACAATTTTTATTACTGCACAGATCCTAATTATGATTTTTTTTTTTTTTTTGGAAAGTGATAGAAAATATTTTTTGAGAGCTTAAAAGGTGCTTATTTTTTTAGAAAAATCTGGCTACCCACCTTGAATAAGGGAAAGATAAATTAAGTTACAAAAATTATCTAAAGCTATTAAAAGATAATTCGAGAGTAAAAATAATATGAATATGTGACAAAATTTTCTTAAATATACTCACTTTAAAGAATTTTATTTAAAATTGAAGCATGTGAATTGTTAAGGAACTCTAGTACCACATGAAATTTTCCATCATATATTAATAGATTCTGAAAGATTTAAATATTTTGAATGAAGACATTAGATATTTTAATGAAAATTCTATTTTTCAGAGTCTTTCTGCATCCATGAACTGATCTTCACTTGTTCTTGTGGTTTTGAATTTAAATAACACCCTATGAAAATGTATATTTATTTTTTAACACGACATGGCAACTAGTTGTGGTCATCCTTTCTCTAAGTATGAAATAATTATTCTTATTTCTAGGAGACCCTAAATGCAAGAGGGTGCGAAAACTTTATAGAAAATATTAAATCTTTGTCTGATGTCTCTGCTCGTTCTAAGGAATGTATGATTGATGAAGAATGCCGTAATGCTTTACAAAAATATGGGGAAGGCAAAGTTGCTGTTTATAGATCTAAAAGTAAGCTGTTATGCCTTACTTAATTATAAAATAATTTCATTGTTAATCTGGGATGCAAACTGATACACAAAATGTTAGTAATTTCTTCAAAGTTCAGTTTCGACTAAGGGAAATTTTTAACAAATTTTAGTTTTAAAAGTTTTTAAGAGGTTGTCTACTCAGAGGCGTATCTATGGAAAGAAGCGCCTATGGCAAACCTCTTACTGGCGCCCTTACTAAAATATTAAAATTCTTTTTTTTTTTTATCCAATACAAAATAAAAGCATTGTTTGAAGTATTTAACTCTTTTGACAATATCACAAAAAGATTGAATTGAATTTTTAAAAAAAAAAATTGAGAAATAAATAAATATTAAATATAACAATAAAATTATCTCTTTTTAATTGTTATGCATTCACGTGTATTCGAAATCCTCATCGGTAGGAAGTTAAAATACCTTTTTTATCATATTTATAGAAGATTCTATTGCGTTTTTTCAATTGTCAATAAAAATTACGTATTGGTAACAGAATTACGTACACACAACAAATGTAGCTCTGAGTTAAAGAAGAACTATAACATAACCGGATGATTACTCAACATTTTCAAAATGAAAACTGAAGGAAATTGATTTTTTTTTTAAATAATCACGCTTTGCTAACATCAAAATAAAATCATCGCGATATAATAAATTCATTAAAGATTACAGTGTAAATAATTACGATTTGTTATGATAATTACGAATAAAATAGCAACAATAAAANAAAAAAGATATATTTTGATTAGTTTATTTACTGTTCAATAAAATAAAAAAACCGATGCTCTTAATATAATTACGTTTTACAATCCTTATATAAAAACAGATAATAAGAAAAAATATACACACAATTACACACAAAACAAGACTTAATAACGACAATAATACATTTTTTATTGAGAAATAAATTAGGTATCTAGAAATAATTCTTTTGCTAACAGTAAAAAAAAGGCAAAAAGTAAAAAAATAAACCAGAATACATTCTAGCATATTTAATTAAAAAAAAAAATTATGAAAAATTCTCTTCGCATCACAATGGAACAAATTAAAAATAAAGCAAAATATTAAACAAATTTGAATTATGAATTTTAGACGTTCAGTGCGCAAAAAAATAAATAAACGGACCATCCTGATAACTTTTGATCTAATGATCAGATCTTCACTTTCTTCTCATCTCAATGGTTCAAGGGGTGACTTAAAATATGATAATTAATAGGTGCAGGTATGATATTTTATGTTACGAAATCAGATACTAAAACGTACTTTCTCTGAAGTTTCTGTTTATACATGCCATTTTTTCGACGGATTTGGATTTCTGAATCCCAAAATTTAGAGGGTAATCGCAATCTGAGAAGTACCTAGAGAGATTTTCAAGCAAAGTGAAAAAAAAATTCTGCGTAATTATAAAGGTCGTTTAAGTTGTTTTTAAGGAAAAAGAAAAATATATAAATCATTGAAATATTCGAGAAGATGACTTTTTGCATCTTTATGGAAATACATTTCTAAATATATTCTTAAAATAAAGATAATTATTTAGTGAATAAATATTATTGTGATTATCACTTTATTGATAACTTTTTCTTTCAAGTTACTAAACTGTTGTAATGATTGGATTATAAACTACACATTATAACATTAATAT